CTCCCCCGAGACTCGAACCAGCGCGCTTTCCGTATCGCCGGTCCGAAGCATGATGCCTCAGACCGCGCGGCTACGGCGCGGGACGTGGATAAATTAAGTTTGGTTTAAAATACAAAGTGCATGACTGTCGTGCATTCAAAACCTGTTTTATTCTACATTACATCAATTACCTCATCGAATTTAAATCCCATTATTCTAACTTGGACATGGCCTGCAATGGTATATATTAAAGCGTACAGTATCTGTAATAAATATCAAATTTGAATGTGTTATCAGTGTGCAGTGTGAATGCTGAAGTAGCGTTTTCAAATATGACCACAAGGGAGTCAACGTAGTATATCCATAAGCAAATTAAAATTATTGCATTTAAGGTACTGCCTTCTTTTATTCCAAAGTTGGTTTTATTTCCTTTGGCAGATACCGAATAAACCGACTGTACCAAAATTATGTTCTTTTGGGTTTTGGTGCTGTGTTGGCTGGTCAGTAGATGTAGGCAATTCAGAGAAATGTCCGTGTCCATCTTCAGGGCTGAACCAGTCGACATGGTGCCAAAACCCTGAAGAACATCATCGTTGCCATAGCCAGGATACAGTCATCTAGATTTTGTTCAGAGTTTTCGTTGTTATGAAATTTTGTTGTAACATTTGAAGTCGTGAAGTTATGGTGTGTGTGTGCACATGTGCATGCATGCCTGTATTTATTAGTGGACTTATTGTTATGTGCGCGCTGGTTCGAGTCTCGGGGGAGGAGAAATTTTCTCATGAGCTTTCGACCAGTGTATGGGACCGGTGGCAACCCAGGATCGTGAGGAAATTGGGGAGCTACAATGAGTAGCGTAATCCGGTCAGGAAAATCTAGCAATGGCTGGGGGTTCGTCGTGCTGACGACACGTCTCCCTATATCTGGTTGGATGATCGTTCACCTCTGTTTAGGCATGTGAACGTGAGGCCAGCTAGTCGGCTTTGGCTCTCTGGAGCTGTGACGCCACGGATTTAATTTAATTTAATTGTTGTGTGACAATCATATGCTCTTTATAAAAGTTGGCAGTATTTAGTTAATACTCTGTAGGATTTGAGGTTTTCATGGCGGTGAGTCAGAAGACAGCCATCTTTAGTTAATACTATTGAGTAAATCATTTTATTTTAGTTTAAGAAGTAAAGAATTGGTGTTTGGTGTTTTCCAGTGTGTTGAAATTGAAACACGGAGAGCTGAAGCTTCATTTTCGGACTTTATACGTGGCACCGGCCGACAGCTGGCACCAACCAGTTGAACTGCCAGATGGAAGGGTCTTGTGGAAATCAAATTCCCATGGTAGGAAGCACAACCAGTGTCAGGAGATAGATTCACCGGAGGCACAGACTCGTAATAAGGCAACGACCTTTTCAGGGAGTGAGTCTACTTTGGATGATGAGAAGGAGAGTGAGGCAGTCGGTGGATGTGACCTTCCTTCTCAGACGTCCGCCTGTGGTACAGTTGAACAGCATCAGTGTGCAGTGTGAATGCTGAAGTAGCGTTTTCAAATATGACCACAAGGGAGTCAAAAGAAATGAAGGGAGAGTGTTTAATCCATATTCTCAATGATGATTGCCTCATGCATATATTCTCGTATCTTACCAAAAGAGAGAGATTTAGGATTGAGAGAGGTATGTTATTTTCTCACATGTGTGTTTAATTAGTAGAGTTTCTACTGCCCGGTGGTATACAAATGCCGTCTGCTTTGTGCTCGAAACAGCCGAATGTTTTATGTACCAACTGCGAAGCTTAACCTTTAAACGACGGGGATTTAAATAGCAAAGTGGTAGCAGCCCTACAGAGGTTTTTTTTTGCAGGTTTTAAAACTTTCGTGCACGCTCTACAGAAAACTTTAATATTATCTAAAGTAAAAATGATAAATTGACGAAGTAAATGCCATATTTATTCGAATAGAACAGAGAATACATAGAGGTTTTTAAAAATGCAGTTAATATCTTAATTGCCTAAATAGGTCTTTTGAAGCTCATTCGACATGGTTGTGAACTAATGACCACACAGAAAAATTTGTCTCCCCTACTTCAGTGGATACACATTATTCTCGCCCATCATGTCGAGGAATGTGAGTAGCTTTGATTAGGAGGTCTGAAAACGAAGCCGAAACCGACTTGACAATAACAATGTTTATTGTTGTTTAATGAAAAATTTGTCTCCCCTACTTCAGTGGATACGCATTATTCTCGCCCATCATGTCGAGGAATGTGAGTAGCTTTGATTAGGAGGTCTGAAAACGAAGCCGAAACCGACTTGACAATAACAATGTTTATTGTTGTTTATGATTATATTTCCCGGGTCGACAGCTCAGTTTGAACTTGCCAGAACCCTAGAGAAAGTGATTCAATATTTGCAGCCCCTAAAAGAGGCCAAATGACGTAGCCAAGTCTACTTACAGAGTTGCAAGTTTTGAGTTCCGCTCCGGGAACGTTCGTAGGGCTGAGTACACAACTTACGTTCCCAGACAGGGAACGCTAGTAAGATAAAGGCACATGACAGAAGATGCGCAGAAGCATCCTAAACTCAGCTGCTATCATTTGTATCTGTTACGTCAGAAAGGGGATAGGTCTTTTAATTTTATTTTGTTAATAGAAGCAAAAGATAAATTTTGAAGTTGTTTATCTTGGATATGGTAAGAATTTATTTAACACGTTCATGCTGGGCTTTTAAATTCAGGCCTTACACTTCTGTAATCGTTGACAGTGTTTTGTGCGAAGTTTTGGTAACTCTCTTGTACATATTGATTTGTATTGATTATCTGCGTGAGGTTGGGGGTTATAAAATGTTGAGGTACTCTGGTCGTGGCTGTAGGTTAGGCAGTATGGAGCCCTTTTAGAAAATACTGGCTGACTCTGAGTCATTTGATGATTTTGAAATGAATTCTGTGTTGTCTTTTGATATTTTGTTTGGGAAAATTGTTGGTATTAGAATAGTTTCTGTAATTTGCTGATTTTTTCGCTTCCATGATGGTGTACGAGCCAATGCTGTTGTCTCTGTTTGTACAACAGAATAAGGACATTTCTAGTGTGGGGAGTCCAAGAACATGTGCATTACCATTGGTGGGAGGGAAGCAGGCAGAAAACCTGTGTGAGCATTGCTACTGCTCACCATAACTGTACTTAATTAATATTTTAAGTAATTCTTGTTATCATGAGAAGTTGTTTGTGAGACCCCATGAGATTATGACCCTAATTTTCTGAATCCCATTCATACATAATAAATGCTAGTTCCTAGTGTTTACTTGTTTTGTATTAAATAATCTTGTTATTGAATTCTTTGTGCAGTTTGTAAACGTTGGAAAGAGGTGTGCTTGGACATGTGGGTATACCAGAAACACTTGGATTTCACTTCGTTATTCTCTTTGTCATCTGCGTCGTACCTCGACATGCCAATACTTGAGGCATTTTTGAAACGATGTGGTAGAAATCTCCAAAGTCTTGATCTCTGTCACGGGCCTCATTGCCTAAACGCTTCAGTACATAGAATTATCGGTGAGTGAATTTATACGGATGACGATGCTTTTCTAATTAACTCTCATTGACCTAATCTGAATGACATTGTGCAGTTGATGTCACATTTGAAACCAGACTTTCTGACAGAAACTCGCACACCACGAGGTTAATGTCTAGATGAGGTAGTGAACATCATGGCTGAAAGGGCAGTTTTCCTGTTGTGCATTGCAGAGGTCCCATGTTTAAGTTTCAGCTGAATGTATCATTTGACTCTAATGTAATCTGACCAGTGTAGAGCATCAGTTGTAACCGTCCAGACATTAGAGTCCTATGGATTAACGCTGCAAGGGCGAGCTGGCTGGAATTCCTTAAAACAAAGAATCGTTTGTATTAAGTGAGAGAGTAGGCTGGGGGACTCATATGTGGTCTCTTGGGGGAGTGAGCCAGCAGCAGTCGTGTGTCTGAGCTCAGTTGTATAGGGGTTGGTGAAGCCTACTCGACCGAAAAAATATAATGAAATGAATCTACTTGACTAAATCGTTTCACTAAACTACTCGACTAAATTTTAATGTCCGCACATGGTAAGTAACTATATAAACGAAGGTGTTTGGTGTTTCTTATAACATGGCCATTTTTGATAACCTTTTATTGTAACTCCTCTGACATATTTTACTGTAATTGGGGATATAAGATTATTAATGCACACATGATTTTTATATTTCAATGTCTTGACCGTTTAGTTGCTTATTAGCAGTGTCGTAACCTACTTAACCTATAAAATGCAATATAGCTTGTCATGAAAAGGTAAGCTGCGTCTTTTTATACATTGCGTTTTCAATTTGTGATCAGAAAGAAAGAAATATTCTATTGATTTTGTTTAATAAGTCTGCTTTGTTTAAAATTAATTTTGTTATTTTATTATGTTTGTATTATAAATAAACTATAGCTTTAATTACTGTTTCAGCTACCTACTGTAAAAACCTTCGCTGCCTTAATCTTGCTGGTTTGCCAGTAACTTCATATGGCCTCAGATTTTTGTCAACCATTAGTCATGAACTGAGAGTGCTCAACTTGGATAGTTGTTCAGGCATTTTTGATAAAGACCTCCAGAAAATGTTTCGAGAATGTCAACACTTGGAATCTGTTACATTATCCCACAACAACAAACTGACAGGAAAATGTGTTCGAGGCCTGGCACACGCACCACTGAAGATATTAGTGATGGATGGATGTAACAGTATCCGACCCGGGAGTCTTGTGAGCGGACTTCGTGAACTCAAGAGTCTTACTAGCCTTAGCCTCAATTCTTGTGCTACGTTGTCCAGCAGTGATGTGTCGGGTATCATGGGTGCTGTCCCAAAACTACGATCATTGTCATTGGCAGAGTATTTCCCCTTATTGAGTTCTACAGCTCTCAAAGCACTGGATCAGCTACACGACCTTATTAGCTTGAATCTTCAGCTTAATCTTGCTGTTAATGACCAGATCATGGATGCCATCACAAGAAGTTGTCTCAAGATCGAAGAACTCAACATAACGGGTGCGTTACATTTTGTTTGTGTCGGGTTGCAATTTTGTACATGCATAACAAGAAATAGAACTATTGCTGTAACCCATGGGTTGTGATAATGTGTGGACTTACGAGGTGCGATAGGAAAGTTTCCAGACTGCGCCTATAAAAACCCATACACTTATCTCAGGTATTAAATTCATCCATCACCCTCGAAGTAGTTCCCCTGGGAGTGAACAC